GCAGGCCCCTTGCCTGGGGGCAGCGGGGTGCGGCAGCCCGCGGAGTCACCCGAGGGACCCCCGCACAGGCCTCGTGGGTGCCCGTGCGGCCTTTCTGCCCTCGTGCCCCCCATGGAGGTCTGGGAGACTGCGGTGAGGGCTGCAGCACGCCCCCGAGGCCTTCCAGGGTGCTCTTAATTAAAGCCTTGGTGATGACGGTGTGCGGTTGCTTGTCGTAAGTTGTCAGGGTTGGCAGCGATCTGTGGCCCAGGGTGTTCGGGAACTGCTGCACCATCTAATCCCGTCTGCAGCGCTTGCCATCTATGTTTCTGCGATAAGGACAAGCGCGGCTACAGTCCGCAAGAAACGGCTCCAGAGGATGTTTTTATCCAGGAGTAACCCTGCTGTTTTCCTTTGACAAGCATAAACAGGCTCCTCCCTGATGCGAGCCAAGTGCCAAAGAGGCTGGACACGATCTGTCCTATGATAATAGAGCGCAGCTCCCAGCTGCTGTGCCTAATTGGAGACTCGCCCAGGCACATTTCTAGTTAAATTCTGCGTCCTTGCTCCATGGTCTCATTTAACATTGGGCAAACCTGATCGTTTCCTGGAGTGGAAGGCTGATGGGTGGTTTGTTTAAACCTGTCTGCTCATTGATCTCTTCCTGGAGGACGCTGATCTTTGGGGAAGACCAAGGCCGCTCGACTGCAGCACGAGCGTATTCCCACCATGCCGCCCTCCCTGCTTGCTGGTCTCATGGACACAGCAGCAATATGATGAGTCTGGAGTGTGAGTGACAGAGTCCAGCTGTGCATGGGAATAAAAACATCCTGTTTGTTTGTATAAACAGTGAGTCAGTTGTATTGGCAAGATGTTCTCAGCCGGTGGCTTTCCGAGCAGAAACGGTCAAAACTGTTCAGGGAACGAGTTAAATGATAGTTGTGGATGAGACGGGAAAGGACAGGCTGCAGTCAGAGAAGGGGGAGTGGGAGGAAATATGTGACCAAACAGCTTCTGAAATCACCGTGAAGAGGCTGCTTATATTTTCTTCCCTCATCCATAAGGTTATTCAGAGGTGTAGATGATAGCTGGGTACTTAAATGACTTTGGACTTCTCTGACAACTGGAAAGGTTCAAATGCAGAGCTTTGAAGTTAGCAGGAGAGGGAAATGTTGCCATGAGACCACAGGAACAGTATAGTATGATGACTAAGGGACTGTGTATGAAAAGGTTGCGGGAGGAACAAAGAGTGCCCAGAATACAGCACAGAAGAGAGAGATTTAAATATCATGGAGGGGGAGGAATTATTTACGGTCCCATGGAGCATTTAGTCTGAATCCTGTAGCTGAAATACATAAATTGGGAAAGGGGACGAGGGGACAGGAAGAAATTCTTCCTGAGCTGATGTTTTAAGTTACAGAGTTGTTGTCCTGAGAGAAGGCGTGAAAGCTGTGTTGTTTAGGTCATTATAGAGCCTCCATAAGTCCTTGGAAAGAATGTCGATTTTATTTTGTGTTCCCCAGTGAGACAGATCTCGAAATTTCAAGTCCTCTACCTCTAACTTGATGGTGAGCACAGCTCTCCCCGCACTGCTCAGCACAGCGCGTGCGCTCTGCGGTTCTGGTCATGGGCTCGTGCGTTTGCTATTAGCTATTGATAAATATTTGTTGAAAAGGAGCAAGATAAAACACCTGAGCGGCTTTTACTTTCCGGAAAGGAATTTTCATTAATGGAGGAGTGACAGCATTTCCTTTGGCTACGTGAGAATTGGTGGCACTTTCAAGTGACTTAAAGACAGCATCTCTGAGCTGGAGCAAAGTGCTGATCAAAGTGGGAATCCAAACAGCCACTGCTGGCTCCAGTCCTAACCTGGGAGCTTTGCTGCTGGATCTGTATGAAGTGGGGAGCTAAACGCTTTGATGTTGGGTCTGCATGGGTATCTGCTGGTGTTTGAGTGATATGAAAGGTCTCAGGAGGAAGTCAAGTGAACAACTAAACCACTTCAGTGCTAGTGTTTGCTATTTTTTTTTAAAAAAAAGGCATCTGGAAGCTGATATTGAATCTGTTTTGGTGCTACCTGGGAATGGCATTGGATGTTACGATCACAGATGAGACGTAAGTTTGCAGAGAAGAGGCTACTTCTCAAGCAGCCTTCTGCAGAGCAGAATTGCTACAGCAATTTGTATTTACATTATCTAGCATAGCCCGGGGCGGAGCGTGCGTGGAGGTGACAGGCTGTCCCTGTCCCATCACAGCTGGGTAGTGGCAGAGGCACCTTCTGAGGATGTTCTCATGGCTGGGTGGGTGCTGTGGAGTACAGGGCTTCTGCACTGGCCTGGAGTAGTTGGATGTCTCTGCTCTGTTCAACACTGAATAGCATTTTTCTGCTCATCAAGAACAGTAACTGATTGCCTTTCCCTAGCATTACCCCCGACTAACAATTTCCCCTTTGGTTTCTAGGTTGTTTTCGTCAACTTCCCTGAGACCCCTCTTTCTCCTCAGCATGTCCCTTCTTGGCATTCTCTTGCTGGAGAGATGGAAGCCCAGATTCCTATTTGACTTCTCAGGTATGTGATGAGTGACTGTAGCTGATGATGCAGTTCTGGTGTTACCAGCTCCTGCCCTGTGGCCACGATTGTTTTTTTCCTGACTCTGTTATAGGTCATTTAAGCCATAGAAAACAGCCCAGAGAACTGTTTGTTCTCTAATTTCAGGCTTTGTTCCTGTTGCTGCCCCTTGTATCCTGGTGTCTCCCGGAGTATTAGGATGTAGCCCTTAGCAAGCCTGGACCAAAAGAAAGGCCTGTCAGAATTGCTCCTAGTACTGAGAGGTGCTGGGAGTTGCTTGAGAGTAACTGATATGGCCCAGCGAGCTCAGATAAACTTGTCAGAGAAGCCGGTGAGAGGGTTGTTGATGCATTTCTGCCGGACAGAATTTCTCAAATTGTAGATTTTCTTAGCCAGTTTAGAAAGGAACATATTAAGCATGCTTGTCGTCTTTTGTCCCTCTTTCTGTGCAGAATTTAACTCCTGCTAGGTGTGTAAGTTAGCAGATGTGGGTACCCCTTCTCTCCTGCGAGTGTCATGGTGAAAAGGTCAGTCCGGATCGGAGAATATAAAGGCAGCTGAGCTAGGGGGAGAAAGCAGGGGGTTGAATCGTGGTGGCTTGGGTTAAGTACAGAGAGGAGAGAGGCAAGGCAGGAGAGCCACGTTGTCTCAGGCACATAGAGTGGCTGGTGAAGTCTTAACAGTGAGGACGGTATCATACCTGTGCTGAACAGCATTCAGTGAGTCTGATCACTTGGCTTATCTTTTTCATTTATTAAAGGTTCTTTGCCAACCTCAGACATGATAGCAACAAGAGCAGTACTCTCATTATGATGATAGGCATGGATTGGCTGCTGTCTGCTTTAAGTACCTCCTTCACTGGAATTATTATTTGACTGGACCTAGACCTGTCTACTTCATTTACTGCTGCTGTTCAAAGGCATCCGGGGGTCCCCTGTCCCTGACCCCCTACTCTAGGAAGGGCTTCTGAATGAAAGCCCCTCTGTGTATGTTTGTAAGGTACCCTTTATGTGACCTAAAAGGGTACTGGCTTAAAGGGTGCTTTCACAGAAGTCCTGATAAGATTAGATACGTTTCAGCTGTAGTTTCAAACTGTTTGCTTTGTGCGGTTCAGGTAACTAGGCAGCCAAACTGGACTGGCCATTTTCATTTCCTGCTTATTCACATTATTTTTTTAAGGAATAGTTTAAACCCAACCCAAAACATCTCATTTGAAACATGTCCAGAAATGCAAAGACTTGGTGCCTTATACAGAATGGTGTTATTGAGGCAGGTGGGAGTAGAACCTAACCAAAAAGGGCTAGGCTTGTAAAAGTTGCATTATCACAGAGGAAGCGGGAAATCTATATGGAAATCAATGTATGTGATGCAGAGCGGTGTGAAGAATGGGGAGAAAGAAAAAAAAAAAGGAAAAAAGGAGTTGGGCTAATTCTGTGTCATCAGTTCTGCAAGAAGTTAGTGTGCATCCTATTGAGCTGCTCCTTGGTCATGGTCTTCATGTTTAGCTCCCTTCCAGCTCCTTTCTGCCTCTCTCCTGCTGACACCAAAGAACAGGGATACATTTGTGCTTTATGTTGTACCTGATTAAGTTACAATCTTGATTCCAGCTTTTTCCACTGAACCACATTTCCTCAACCCTGCAAGGAGGAAGCTGTACTGCTTACCTGAGGAGCCTTCTGGTTGAATTGGCACTGCTAGATACTTAGGGAGGTTGGTTTGGCTCTGGCTTCCCATGAATCAGAACTGTAGCTTTGTGGCTTTCCTCCTTAGTGCTTCCTATAAACCTTTCCAGGTGTTTTTGGAAATAGGTCAGTACCACACCTTTAAGAATTAGCATGTATATACACAAACCTCAGCTTTTGGCAGTTCTGTATGTTTTGGGTGCTGCTTAAATGTCACTGCTGGAGGAATGCTGGCATTAAACCTCAGCATTTATTCTGCAGTTACTCACATGCTGTGAATAAGGGCACTCTAACAGCACCAACACGCACAACCTTTTTAGGACCTGTCAGAGGGGGCTGGGTATTTTCAGCTCCCTTGCAGTATATTTACTTCATGTAACCACCTCTGTGTGGAGCAGTTAGCAAAGTGTTTAACAACCTAGGAAACATCCCCACTTTCTCTTGAAATGGCTACCAAGTAGGGTTGTTTTTGCAGCATTGTTGCTTGGTGGTTGTGCTTGGTTGGAGTTTAGCAGAGAACTTAAGCAATGGCTGCACTGTGAGCGAATGCTGGTACTCCTTAAAAAGGGCCCCTGCGCTGTAGCTGAAGTTCATGCACTGATGAAGAATGTCTCTTGCAGAAGTGTTGAAAACCTGTAAGAGCTGAGGAATCCGGCAGTGATAATTTGTCAGTACCAACATGTAATCTAAACTCTTGTGCTGCTCACTGCTCTCTGAGAACAGTCTGGCATGTGTCAAGTGGTTCCTATTAATCCACAATCTAGTGTGAAATGCTGACAGCGATGTCTCAGACAGTGACTGAGGCCAGATGGGTGTCCTGGTTTCTCGCCTAATTGTACTGGTGCTCAACAATGTTGTGGCACAGGTTGGAGTTAAGTCTTACTTGAGTGGATTTGGCCCATCTCTAGGATCACTCTGTAGGTTGATGGTGGTTGTACTGTTCCTCCAACCAGTGTAAGACTCCAGGGCATTGGGATGGACAGCAGGTAGACTACACTAATGTATGCAGCAAGACACTATTGATTTTTAAGAAAGTTTTCATTTTGCCAGGTAAGTTGCATCAGCTGAGCAGTCTGCTGAAATGTTCCAGAGCTCCCCTGGATTACAAGTTTCTCTGACGCCCTCAGAAAAAGCAATTGAGGGCAACTGTTTCAGTCTCTGTTTTGGTGTGTTTGTCATGGCTTGGACGCTGCAGTCAGCCTGGAAATGTGGAGTTCCTGTGCCATGCTGCTTGGAATTTCCGCCCTTCGCCAGCGTTGCTGGTGTATCTACAGAGCACATCCAGCCGAGTGCGGTGAGCAAGCATGTCAGCAGCTTGTTTGGTAGCTGGTACAACCAGTATAGCCAGCAATCATAGACAGGCCAGTGCCAAATCTGTGCTTTTAGTCACCTAGTGCAGGTAAAAGGTGAGGCTTTGAGATACAGCTGGATTTCTGCATGCTGTGCTTAAGCAGCTTTAGATTCCTGAGCACAGTAACAAAATACAACAGTGGTTGTTACGAGGGAGAAGCAACTGCTCAGCGTGGGTAAAGCTGCATCCATAACACTTCTTGTTCCCTCTGGGGCAATAAACTTGAGTTCCTTTCACGGCCAGTGGCTACTGGCTGCCCAGAGAGCTGTGCCAAACAGTCATGGGTAGAGGAGTGAATAGGCAACGCAATCCGAGAGCAGTTGACTCCTCTTGTCAGGGCAGATTACTGGAAATCTGGGTCACGCTCTCAAAGAATTGCCTCCTCCCTTCCCCGCACTGTGCAGGCTGCCTGGTGCAGTGCCTGCAGCAAGAGGAGGAGGCTGACATACTTGGCCAAATATCCTGTGTCATGGCAGGATGGGGACAAGGCCACTGTGAGCAGTTACTCCCTTTTGTGGGAATGAAGCGAGGGTTAAATTGGAGCCTGAAATCCCACTTGCTCTTGGCAGTGAAGCATATTCATCTCTTCTGTGCGTTTCCCTGGGGAAGTCACTTCCACTCTTGGGCCTTGCATCTGGTTGGTGACTGCAGGGAGGCTTCAGCCCTCCCCTTTTTTTCCTCCACATTGCATTCGTAAGCTCATTTCTAGCAACTAGCCTGGTCTTTGAGCATAAACTCTCTTCCTTTGTTTTAACCGCCTTAATACAGCAACACACTCTGTTGCAGGCGTGGTCCCATGGATTGAACCTCTTGGACAGCTTGAACCGATTTTGTAATACAGCAACACACTCTGTTGCAGGCATGGTCCCATGGATTGAACCTCTGTTGGCCAGACAGCCTCAAAGATACTTTTGTCCCTACAAGTTTCAGGACAGTAGGCAGACAGGTAGAGGAGGGTAGAGACCCCTTGAATGGCCTTGGCAATATGATCAAGGACTTTATTTAAAATAGCAGACTTCGAAATGTTCTGATGCTGGAGAAGCTTTGGTTGAAGCTTATGCATCCTTAGACATGAGTCAACTAGGCAGAAGGGCCAATTCTATAAGCAATCAAGCTCATGAGTTCTGGTGATCACAATATTTGAGATTTTGTTTTATTTTTTTTCTTCTCTGTATGTGTCTGAGGGCAGAGCGCAAATATATTTGCACTCTGCCCTTGAAATGTTGCTCTCCTTTCAGCCCTATGGAGAGTCCCCATTTGATCATCCTTGTGTTGGGTGCTTCACCTTGTTCTCAGCCAAGCTGCCAAACCTTAGCAGTATAGTTAAGTTGGTGCCTTCCTGGCATGAGGTGCTGCCAGGGGACCTAAGCACCCTGCAGTTAGATAATTATACATGAGATGGCTATTTGTAGCTAATTCCATGGGAGAGGGCAGAGATGGGGGAGGTCTGTGGCATTTGTGTGCACTATAGCATCCTGCCAGGGACTGTGGTCAGTGGAACTGCAGCAGAGAGCTGCCGGGGCCTTGTTCAGTGCCATGGCAGGAGCTGAAGTTTTGCCCAGCGTGGAGACTGTGCTGGTAGCCCTTTGTGAATGACAGGGACCGGGCAGCTGCTCTTGGTCTGTAATGCAGTGCCACATCCTGTGGGGACTTCGTTGTCAGACTGTATGGGGGTCCAGGATAAGCTTTATGCTCCCAGCACTGGAAAACCCATGTGCTCGTGGTGGAATGCACCTCGAATGTGAGCACTGTGCCACTCGTTTGTCAACACAGGCTGCAAGATGTGCTGGGGCACATGAGAGCAGTGCTTTGGCCTCTGTGGCTCCCCACGTCTGCTTCCCTGCAGCCTGCGCTGTGCAAACTCCAGGCCAGTCTTTAGTGTGATTCCTACTTGCATGTGAGCGTGAAGAAGGTCCCCAGGGTGCATCCCTAGCTAGCGATCATCTATCTCCAGCTCTGCTCTATTCAAGTAGTAAAAATGTCATGTTTTATTTTTCACTTGGCTGGCTAATATCCTCTGTTCTCCTTGCAGCACAGCCATCGGAGGAGCCCGGAGGGGACAGGTAAGCTCACTGGGTGCTCCTTTGTGGGAGGGGAGAGCAGGCACACCTTAATGTGACACTTTCATCTGCCCTCTTTGCTGTTGTCTGCAGACTGCGTGGCTCCTGCTGTGAAATTATAGCAGTTTTTCCTGCACTGGGAGCTGTTTATCAGCTCAGGAGCCGCAGCTTGAGACTCTGGGGAAAGCTAATGTTCTTCAAGTAGCAATAAAGCTCAGGTTCTTCTGACATTAGAAACTCTAGGACTTCTTCCCTAAATAAAACATAGACAAAGAGAATCTATCCTGTGCTATTTTAAGAATCCTTCAGAGAGAAAGAGATCCCTGAGAGTGATTTTTGCAGGCCCTGTGTGTTGTCTGTAATGGCGTAATTTGCATCCTGTGTCTGGCTGTGGTTATGGGCCCCAGCTCCGCGCTCTTGTCATCTCGGACTCGATGCTAAAGAACGCGCGTAGCTAGTTCCACCTCCAGTGCTTCTGTCTGTGTTGCTTTCAATAAATCACCTTGCATCTTGGGCCTCTAGCATGGGGATGCTGTAGCACAGTGCCTGCTGCTGCTTGGCTCGGGTGTCTCTTGGCTGTTCCTGCTTAAAAAGTATCAACAAATCAAGTATCTTCTGTAGTTCAGTTAAAGATAAGGGCAATATTTATCAAGCCCTTGGTAGGGAGCTCTTCTTCATTGTGCAGCTGTACCCCCAAAGAAAACGAACTATGTTCAGAGATTGTCTTCTTGCTCTTGTCTGTCTCTAGTGAGGGGGTGACTTCAGGGGCACAGCCTCACCTGCTCAGTGTCCCTGAGCTGTGCCACTGTCTGGCAGAGAGCTGGGTCACCTTCAGGCTGTACCTGCAGGAACTGCTACAGTACAAGAGGCAAAATCCTGCTAAGGTAAGCTGGAGACACCTACTCTTCTGTGCAGGGGCTTTTCTCTCCATTGTTGATGGCCTGGGAGATGGAGGAATGTCAGACCAATATTTTACAATTGCTATCCTTGTTTAACGTTTGCTATTTCTTACTTTCACACCATGCTATAGGAAGCTTAAGTAATGAGTAACTGGCTTCCAGGATTTGTAAGCTAGAGCTGAAGTTAACCCCTTCCGTGAATGGCCAGCTGTGCTTTGTTTTATTGCCTAGTGTGCAAAGGAAGCTCTTTGATTGGGATGAGGAGGAAAAGTGAAATCAACAGGCTCCCCTCCACGCTTTAATCTGGTCCTCCTTACTTTGCAGATTGTTGCTAGCCAGGTCCAAATGCAGCAGTGTTCCTGGGTGCATGGAAACCTCTCATAAAGCATGTTCTGATAGCTGTGACGTGTGCTGTTTGAAGAGGGTTTATAGACAGGATTTGCCTTAGCATCATGAAAAAAAAATTACAGACGAGCCCATGGGATTATATCAGGCTTGCTGGAGTTTAGAGTACCAAAAAAAAGCAGGTTCCTGTCACTTCTGTTTGCTCCTCTTCTGTTAGAACACTGATCAGCAAGGGAGTAGGGCAGTGGGACCAAGATGTCTGTAAAGACAGAGTTAATCAGAAGCAAAGCCCTTAGCTTTCTGAAACAGAAGCTTTCCACTGTTGGATATAGTTGGTATTTTTAACCCATGCCCTGTCTTGCAGGGTGTCCGTTCTTGCTTCTCGCTACTCCTGGAGAACACAAGACAAGCTATGAGCTTGTACAAGCTGTTGTATCTTCTCTGGAGAAGCAAGACCCTTTTGGTGGGGTTGTGGGTTCTGCTAATGCTTCTGCCAGCTGGTTTATTGCATGGCAGTGACACATCGTCTGGTGGCTCTGTTACAGCTTCCTGTCTCTGTCAGGACAATACAGGCTTCTTTAACAGTATGAGCTCTGCAGAAGGAAATATACTCAAAAATGACAATTTGAGAATCCATTTTAACCTCCGGGAACAGTATTCAATTCATGAAGGAAGTTTTCAGAACTCTCCCAAAGATTTGTTTAATTTTACCTTGATCTTCCTGTGCTTGAATCTCTTTGTATGCTTAGAGCTTAACCCAATCAGCCTGTCCAAGCTGCAGTCATCAGCATCTGAACATGTTCGATGTAAAGTTGGGCAAGAAAATAAACACCTGAACTGCTTGCGGGGAGTTTGGTGTACTGAGTTTGTCAGGAGCATCTCTCCCTTGCTCTAACTGGATTTTTCCTGCATCAAAATGCATAGATATATCTCTGCCTCTTGTGACTTCTGTTTGTTCCTCTCTTTCTCTCTTTCTTCAGTTCTGCATGAGTGTCTGTTCAGGCTGCCTGATTTTGGCTATAGTTGGACACTATGTTCCAGGGATAATGATCTCCTACATCATCTGTGAGTATAAGCAGCTCTCTTATCTGACTTGAGCTAAAATGTGGCCTACCTGTGCTGCTGATAAGAAGCATTGCCGTGGTTTTCCTGAGGGGATCTGCTCTAAATGATAAGTCAGTGCAGGCAGTGTGCCTTGCATAGTCTGTGGCTTTCAGTGTGTGCATGCAGTACAGCTGCAAAGTCAGGAGAGGGAGCCCTGCTGAGAACATCGTTTTCCTCCTCCACCTGCTGCTGGGGCCCTGCTGTCAGAGAAGCAGAAAACTGCAGCCTCTCAGTTCTTTGGGTGGGCAAATCCCTGTCTGCCAGGTTTGAAATGGAGAGTTTTTAAAGGAACTGTACATTGAGCTTTGAGACCTTTCTTCACTGCATCATGAGTCCCTGCTAACTGAAAACTGTTCAGGTGGTCTGCTGTTAGCATGTCAACATATGAGCTGCTACCTTATAAAAGTCTCAGTGATTTTTGTTTTAGTAAGCCCACTTCAGGGACTCTGTTGCATATTCCGATTTTAGGATGTGACAGCTGAAGGGGAAGGCTTATGCTTTATCCTAATGTAGGTCAGTATCCTAATGTGAATGAAGATGGAGATGTGTTAGGAAAAGCTGGCTAATTAAGCAACTTCACAGTAAGTAGGAGAGATGAGGATGAGGCTTTTAGGCAGAGTCAGATGGCAAAGCCCCTGTCATCCAGCTGCGCTTCCCTTGACGCAGAGTTTCTTGTTGGCTAGGCTGCACTCAGGCTGGCTCTCGTGTTCCTTGTGTTCGCAGTGCTCAGCATCCTGCTCTGGCCGCTCGTGGTTTACCACGAACTCATCCAGAGGATGTACACGCGACTGGAGCCCGTCCTGATGAAACTGGACTACAGCATGAAGGCAGAGACGCTCCACCACAAGCATGAGAAGAAGAGTAAGGACCTGCCTTCTCTCTGGCTTTCTGCAGCACTGGTCTCCCAGGATGGAGCCTGGCAAAGAGGCAGTGCAGGCACATTCCTGACAACAGTGTAGGGGTGAACAGCTGTGATGGAGCAGAGCGAAAGAGACTGAAACTTGAGAGTTATGGGGAGGACAACTGGGCAGGCAACTGCCTGTTATCCTGTGAATAACAGAGCAATAGATTAGAATTGTCTCTGGGTCACAGGGTAGAAGTGGTGATAAGTGATGTGCAAAAGAATAACATTCCTGGCTCAGGCTCACGTCCAAGCCTTTCCTCCCTTTCTCACAGAGCGGCAAGGGAAGAGCGAGCCTGCGGTGGGCGACGAGCCAACAGCGGAGACGGAGAGCGAGAGCGAGGCAGAGCTGTCCGGCTTCTCCCCGGTGGTGAGAGCGCAGAGGGGCTACGCAGCACCAGGCCCTCCTCCGTGATCTGTAGCAACAAGAGCTGAGTACAGCTCTCACCTAGAGTGCAGCTACACTGGTAGCAGACATGGAGGAGCGAGTTATTTCTATGCTAAATCCCCATCAGGCAGGGAATGTTTTGGTGAAAGCTGTGTCTGCAATCTGGGCACTGGGAATCCAGCATCACGGGGCTGGTGATGCTGTAGCAGAGCAGAATCAGCCATGTTCTGGCTTCCTCTGCTGAGCTGCAGAGCTGCTTTGATACTAACACCTCATGGTCAGAGAATGCAAGTGTCTCCTGAAGAAACCAGCTGTCTGGGTGTAATGTGTACAGGCTTCAGCTTACCCCTGGAAAGGTGGAAGGAGCAGGACTAGCACCTGCCTTTGCTGAAGATTTGTGCTTGAAGCCCTAGGTTCCAAATGAAAGCAGATATTTGGACCTGCTGCTGCTAGCAGAAGTCTTCCTAGGGCCCAGTGTGACAGGGAAAGTTTTGTGCAACTTGGCAGTCCCGGGAGAGGGGGAAGGCACAAAGCTCTTTGCAGGGAGGCCTCAAGGAGCTTAACCTCTACCTTGTGCTAGCTCTTCCAGATTCAGCACCAAGAGCTAGCAGAGTTTTCAGCAGTTCATTATTGCAGGAGAACACTGAGTCAAGACTGTCCTTCCGTGGCAGTGCAATAATCACTTTGTGCAACCCTTCATTACTTTTGTATTGTCCCTGTGCAGAGTCTTTTCAACAAAGAACAACTGCCTGGAAACTTGCTTGTGTGGAGTCCATAGGCAGCAGTGGTAATTTATCCCTCTGCCTTCATCCCGTGCAGGTGGATGTGAAGAAGACGGCGCTGGCCCTGTCCATCACGGATTCTGAGCTCTCTGACGAGGAGGCATCCATCCTGGAGAGCGGGGGCTTTTCTGTCTCAAGGGCTACCACCCCTCAGCTGACGGACGTTTCGGAAGGTACGTGATGGGATACTTGATACCTTCCACGTCCTCCAGGTATTGTCCCGAAACAGCTTTGGGATCTGAGTAAGGCCATTTCATCTGCCCTAGCAGGACAATAGGGAGATAAGATGGCTATTTGCAGGAGAAAGTATGGAGGGAAAAAAAACAGTAATAGCAGCAGAGCATGTCCTGACTTATGATCCAGAGTTGGTCCTATCTTCCTCCAGCTGCAGCTCATTTCACAAGACCGTGTTCTGTCACTCCAAAAAGAGAGCAAAGCCATTGTCGAAGTCTGTGCTAATTGGCTAATTGGCAGAGAACAGGAGGATGGATCAGACCAGCAGAAATAGCTGTACAGTGTCTCTAGTTGCACACTCAGGCACTGATACGGGGTACAGCAGGTCAGAGCCCCCACCCTACCTACCTTATGAGCCCAAGGAAACACTGGTTAGTGGTGAAGAATGTGAAGGTAATGGCTCAGGTGTGGTTGCTTGAGCATCTGGGGAGGAACTGGTAGGTGAATTGCCATGAGGTGAGTTGTCCCATTCGGAGAATAGAACAGGTGCAGACACTTGCATGCCGCTGTGCGCCTACAACCAGGAGGGCCCCTAGGAGTGAGCTTGGTGTGTGAGTGGGGAGGTGTCAGCGGCTGGCTCGAGGCAGGGGAGCCAGCCTTAGTGCCATTGCTAATGTTTGGTGCCTTTCAGACCTGGATCAGCAGAGCCTGCACAGTGAGCCAGAGGAGGCATTTTCCAAGGACCTGGCAGAGTTCCCCTCCGTGGAAGAGTATCATTCCAGAGACCTGGGACCACAGAGCGATGAAGATGCATTCGGTGTGCCTCTGGGTCCTGAGCTTGCCCATGTTGCCCATGAGCTGGACTCAGCAGAGAAGGAGGCTGCAGACTCTGACCTCTCCATCCTTCGCCTGGCGTCTCCTCTCCATTTTGTAAATACGCACTTCAATGGGAGCGGGCAAGCGGCAGGAGGCGACGCGGAGCCAAAGCCTGGCCCTGCTGCAGGCCTGGGCATCTGCATTGACACGCTGAGCGAGGAGATTGTCACCACTGCCATTACCACCGCGGTGCAGAACACCCTCTCCGCGCTGCTGCGGTCCTCGGAGGCCAGCGAGGGGCCCTCCCTCTCCGAATTCCTCCCCACGGAGCCTGAAGAGAAACTGAGCTTTCAAGCACAACTGTCAGAGACCGAAGCGGTGGAGACAGAGACAGCAGCTTCACCCGAGGACGAGGAGGAAGGAGATGACTTTGAGCTACTGGATCAAAGGGAGCTGGAGCAAATGGATGTAGAGCTAGGGCTTGGAGAGGAGCAAGAAGCAAAGGAGTCTCCTGCTGCTCTGGCTTCGGTTTCTCCCTCATCCGCACCAGCTGAGCAGCTGAAGCAGGGAGATGAGGAGGAGGAGGAGGAGGAGGAGGCAGCGATGGCAGCAGCATCTGTGTCTTAGGTCTTCTTTGTGCGTCCCTGTTTTCTCCATCACTGTAAAGAAGGAAGAACTCGCATGGCCAACGTGCAGTGGGTTTTAGATATTTGTGTTGACTGGGATGGAAAAGTGTCAGTGTTAATGTGCTGTGTCAGGAATAACCAGTCCTTTCCATCCTTCTAGAGCCCAGCCTTCACTGGCTGGGGGGAGCCCTTGCCCCGCAAGTGGGCAGGAGCTGGCTCGCGGGAGCCTCACACGAGCGCAACACCCACCCCAGCAAACGCTTCCTAGTAATGGTGCAGTATTTTGGTCCGTCTTCTGTTTGTCTTTCGTTTTGCACGCAGAGTACCGAGCTAGCTGTAGCGGCTGCTAATACCCAAATCCCCAGTAGGACATATGCAATCTTATTTTATTGGGTTTTTAAATGGCTGAAAGTGTAAATAATTTTAACTTTCACGGGTGGAGGTTGGGGGGAGGGACGAGGTGCACAGTCAGATTTGGCGCTCAAGGGCTAGGGGTAGGGGGAAAGGAGGTGTGGGGTGGTGGGTAGCGGGATGGAGAGGGAAGCAGAGGGCTTCTGTGATGCAGAGGGGCCCTTTCTGCAGCCCGTGAGCATTTTTTTCCACCTTGCTGCTGGAACAGGGTGTCAGCGATACCTGGTTTCTTCCGTGTCTGACTTGAGTTCTGCTACTGTGTGGCTGTGGAGATTTTGCAATCAATGAAATTCACTCCTGGCCCCCGCTCGCTGCTCCAGTTTCTTCCTGCCGGGACCGAGGCCTCACCCGCGCATCCCCCGCCCCGCCGGGACCCGCGAGG